GATTTACTTCCCAACGCTGTGAAGACTGCTTAGAGTTGCAGAAGCAATTCTTCTTTGTGCTTGTTGGCAATAGCATTACGCACTTTAACAAGGTGTTTAGTATAAATAATTAGAAGAATTAATACATAATGATTAAAATAGTATCTACATATTTGGATCCAGTGTGTGTTCGGATTTCGCTGACGTATTTTCCATATTCTGCTACAAAAAGAGAAAGATGGCTTCCCAAAAATAAGCCAAGTATTAAGAAACAGAAAGATATTCAAAACAAATAAAAGTATACCGTACTGCGATTTAATATCTCTCTTTCTATATGACAAATGATAGTGACAATATCCTAACGAATGAAAAGACTTGAGGAAACAGAGATACTGTTCTCCAGAAGAGTGGATGGAATACCATGGACGTAACAACGTGTGAGCAACTAGAACACTGTAACGAACTTGGTATCGCAAGATAAATTGTACTTGTGGTATATGCATTATTCTCCACTCTAGAGCTCTTTTCTCACAGACACATCAAGAGCTTATCTCTACCCTATAGCTACTTTCATGATAAATGTTCAGAGAAGCACCGTTCTTAAGTGACAGTAGCTCAGATCATTGCAGCCAATACGTGCCTTGCTTCGATAACAGGGTTGAAGCACCCTCGTTCCTCCTATATAATCCATTGGGTAAGAAGAACGGTCGACTCAGAAAGTTTCTTCACAAGGAACTCTCTCTATCTATCTATCTATCTATCTATATATATATATATATATATATATATATATATATATATTAAGAAATGGACAAAGTCCGACAATTTATTTATTAAAGACATTTTTATGTTTAACGTTGTTATTTATAGATACAAGTATTTAAGCAAATGCTCTGTTTATGATAAACACTATTAAATAACATTTAATCTCGTACATTCATAACTGCTCTGGCGTATCAAATGTAAACAAATGACGTCATATATTAATAAATGGACAAGGTCCGACAATTTATTTATTAAAGACATTTTTATGTTTAACGTTGTTATTTATAGATACAAGTATTTAAGCAAATGCTATAAATAAAAACGTTAAACATAAAAATGTCTTTAATAAATATATATATATATATATATGATGATATAAATATTTATGTGGTCTCGTTCCCAATAGCCGTTATTCGTGACGTAGCAAAGATCATTTCAACAGTCCCGTTTCCCAAAGAATACCAGGATGCAGACAAAGGAATTCTAACTCCCACACAAATACCAGATCGGTACTTGATAATGACATTTTCAGGACACTTCTGACTCGCTTCCATGCTGATCCTGAAAATTTCCAACCCAAGATGAAACCCAGGTTCACCACTTCGAACATGAATCAAAGATTCAAAGCAAACACACTGTGGTACTCCACCCCGGAAGAAGTTCAAGGAGGCGTCATCTGTTGGCAAGTTGATGGTTTCTGGTTTTTTTTTTATTATTCTGAAGGCGTAATCATGAGAGACTACTTGGAAATGGGGAAAACTTTTAATGGACAGCACTACGCATGCGAATTAAAACAAGTGAAGGAAGTAATCAATTCAAAAGGCAGAGGAAAGCTGAGCGGACATGTGTACTCGCTCGAAGATAACGCGCCTGTTCACGCTGATCCGGTTGCATTGGTTGAAGTAGCCAAATGTGGCTTTGAAGTGCTACCCAATCCCCCTTACTCACCATACTTAGCTCCATCTGACTTTTTCCTGTTTCTTAAAAGCAAATCCTAGATGCGTGGTCGCCATTTTGGAAACATTGATGAGATATGTGTTGAGGAGGAGTTTTCGGAGGATCAGGACGCCATCTTTTTCCGTGATAGGATTGCAAGGATGTCAAGGAGGAATATAGTGTAAAATATTGAAAACAAATGTCTTGTTTCTCCAACTCCTTCTGATTGAGGCTTAGAACTTTTTGATATACCCTCATGCCATCATTTTGTCATTGTCGATCAAGCTCTGTGTTTTATACAATCAAGGTGAACGTTTGCATTCACAACGAGGCTTCATGCTTTCAACGTCTATTGAGTCTCGAGTTCACTCCAGACATCACGTAGAACTCATATATACAATCAACTATTAAAGATTTCGAAAAGAAAACTACTCCAGAAAGTACCTGACTCTTTCTACCATTCTTTATCTTTACATTAATCACATCAGATCAAAAATGGAGTGTAGCAGCCAAATGCCGGCTTTCTAACCTTGTGAGAACTCACAATCGTTTACGCGTGTCGTAGGGAGTGAGTTTTAGATCTGCAAGCCTCTTTCCCCAACAGACGCAACCCTACCACTAATTGGTTGCTATTTCCGTGACAATTGTTCAAATGAGCTACATTCTTATTTCCAGCTAGACCTTTAGAGTTCAAAGATTTAAAACTAGTACTCGCTATGCTACATCCATGTAGCCGAATCACCCTCAGTTCTCCCATGTACCAAATGTAAAAAACATACCCTCATCTTTTTCCCACTGAACTGTCACTTCCTTTAATTCAAGAGTGGATCGTTATCTATCCTCCTTATTTTTTATAATCTTCATTGTGACTAAGGCATATTCTGATCTTCAAATCACACACCTCATCCGGTGACCCTGTACTGTGAGTGACTCTGGCGTCTTTTATTAAGTGAAGTTTTGTAAAATAAAAAATGTAGAATCGAATGCTAACTTCCCTAGCAGTCAGTATAATAAGCCACTTAATTTAATTAAACATTAGGACTTTAATTGATAGAGCTCGTCGTAGAATTTGATCGGAAAGAGAAAAGGCATTTTTATCATCAGAATTCTATCGGTGCGATCAATGCTAAGGAAAGCAAGAAGAAAGGACTAACTAGAAACTGCAAGAAGACAGTTCGCGTTGTTGCTAGCAAAAGAGACAGGTCAAATTGCCAGCTATGCAATGGGAATGTTAAAATTGACCGGATGCAAGCCTATTTGAATAGTATTGTAACAGGATTATGTAATGGATATCAACTTGGAATGTGAAGTCAGAGAGCCGGGTTCGAATTCCAGTCATGTTCGTTGCATTCACTTAAGCGAAAATACCCTTTGGAAAGATACGAATCTATCTCTTCCCCCACCCCGACCACAGCTCTTGGTTGAATAGCAGGAAAGACTGAGTCCTCTAATTTTGGTTGCCAACAAGTCTACTGTAGAAAGAAATAGCAACCTACTGCAGATAAATCTTCTACCGAGTCAGTTATGAATCGAAAGAGACATGAACGCCTAAATATATATCACATCCAGTAATTAACTGAGGAACAGATGAGGCAAAGTGTCCCAACAAAACCCTTAAGCGAATAGCGAAAGATGCCTTTAAGAATCTGAACATAGTAATAAAAGATCGTAAGATGTCTTTATTCATAAGGACATTTTCTTATCTTTTAATTAAAAAAAAGTGCTAGACTGCTTTGTAATATTTCATGTTCTATATGACAATAAATTTTGGACAGTTTGCTCACAGATGAAAAAGAGATTGAGACAAGGCTCGACTGACCAATACAAAGAGAGTGATTAACGAGGTTACTTTAACCCTTTGATCCCTTCATTCCTGAACAATTTTAAACCCTTCTGCCTGAGCTCCTGACTCAACATTCGCAAATAATTCGTATGTAATTTTTCACGGCATGTAATTTCTCTCTACCACCGGTTTTACGATAGATATAAAAATAGTTACAAGTGTTTACCCACCGTTCAAATAGTATATAAGTCATTTTTCTCTACCACTGTTCAACCGGTGTCTGGGCAGTACGTCAATTTTTTCTAACACCGGTAAAGCGGCCAAAGCTCAAAATCACATGGAATCAATCCGACTATCAATTGTCAGTCATAAAATAAAAATGAAAATGGAAGGAGTCCTAATTTTGGCATTGGCACTAGTTTGCCCATTGTGATAAATACTATCTGTTTTGTTTACTAAAGACATGCAAAACCCACTTTTCATCACTTTTTGTGATACAAAAATAAAAGGCTGACATTCCTGGTTAAAAGAAAACTGCAGATTGTGAGACATTGTTCTCAAGTGAAATGCCTTTTTAGCAGATTTTCCTAATAAAACTCAGAAATGCAGAATAAACAACTTGGTTGGTTGACACAGAATTCACATCGATGAAATACATAATTGCTTTCCAAACATCGTAATATATTGCTAAACTGATCAAAAATAAATATACTTCATATGTACAAAATTCATTTACATATACATTTTTACAATTCTATGATTAACCCTTTGAGTCCTAAAAATAGTTACAGAAAATATAACCATTATAAAATAAAAGCTTCAAGAAAGATTTTTCATTTTTACCTCTTTGAGCCCTGCATTCCTGGACAATTTTAACCCTTCAGCTTACAGTCCTGAGTAAAAATTCGCAAATAATTGGTATGTAATGTTTCACGGTAGATATAAAAATAGTTACAAGTTTTTAACACCCGTTCACCGGTGGCTGGACATTAAGTCATTTTTCTCTATCACTGTTCAACCGGTGGCTGGGCATTACGTCATTTTTCTCTACCACCGTTCAATCGGTGGCTGGGCATTAAATCATTTTTCTCTACCATCGGTTTTACGGTGGATATAAAAATAGTTACAAGTGTTTACCCACCGTTCAAACAGTAGCTGGGCATTGTCATTTTTCCTTACCTCTGTTTAACCAGTGGCTGGGCTTTAAGTAATTTTTCTCTTCCACCGGTAAAGCGGTGGTCAGAGCTCAAAGAGTTAAGGATAATCCGGGGCAAAATCTGGTGACAATCAGAAAAAGGCCGTTAAGCTTTCGGAGATACGTTATGAGCAAAAAGGCTTGGAGAATTGAATACCCACAGGGCGTTTAAAAAGAAATAGAAAAATGAGGAAATAATGAGCAAACGACTTGACGGCTTTTCGGTAAATGGACGGCAAGACAAGGACCACAAAACTTGAATGACTGATTACTTTTTTACGGCTTATCAACCCTTTGTGGATAATTTAAAGCCGAAAAATATTTCAAACTATACCTTACCTTACCCGGTGTTTTCAAGCGGTCCCCCATCTAAATACTGACCGGGTTCAATACTGCTTAACTTCGCTGATCGAAGGAAAACTGGTGTTTTCAGCCTGATTTGACCATA